CTTATTTAGAAGTTTTGGACAATTGGTGATATGATACACCCCCTTCCCAACTATTAATCCCTTAACCCCTTAACTGTCCAAATGTAGATCTATGTTTTCTCATCCAGCTCTCCAAATATTTTGAAAAAAAAAAAAAAATAAAGAGGGCATTTTTCTACATGTAATAGGATAAAAAAAAAATTTAGGGTCAGCACTTATTGAGATATAAGACCGCTAAGTTGGCACTGGATGCTCGCCTGACAGCAACATGGAGTCCTGCCACTTGCAGAAATGTTGTTGATATATCTTTTTTCTCATTTTTTAATTTATATAAGTTTTATGTTCCGATAATTACAATTTATAGTACTTTTGATTTCATAGCCAATCTTTGTTCTGACATTTATATTAGGTACTGAAATAGTACTCAAATAGTCACAAAAATGCTGACAGGTGAGTATTTTCACTTGCCTTGGTCATATACTATTGTATAGAAATACATATGTACAAAGTATTTATAGGTCCCAGCAATGTTTTAGACATTCTGGAGTATATATGAAATTCCTTGAAGCACAGTGTAAGACAAGTGTCAATCCACTGCCGACAGTGCAACAGCGGAGTGACATTTGATGATTGTGCACTTCCTTGGCTTTATTTTTTTTCACTGTTGCACATAAGCATGCCTGTCTGTCTAGCTCTGTCTTATCTGTCTTTCTGTCTGCCTGTGTGTGTATTGTCCTGTCTCTCTGTCTGCTTGTCTCTCTTTCTGCCTTAGAGAGAGCCATTCATGAACCAACAGGTATTACACATGATGCAGAGTCGTCATGTCTGATTCCTGAACAAATGAAAATGCATATTACTTCCCAGTCATGCTTATTATGCCTTATGTCTACAAGCACAGTATAGCACTTTGTCTGGATTTTTTTTGGGTTATCCTAGGTAATTTACACTTTGTATAATTGTATTTGTATGTGCCTGCGAGATAGAGACAGAGATAGTGATAGACAGAGGCAGATAGATACAGACAGACAGATGGAGATAGAGACAGCCAAAGTCAATCAGCCACCCACCTGCCCAGCCAGGCAACCTGCCGAACATGTATTACACATGTTCCAAAATTGTTTCTTTTTACTTAGGGCATAGGTATAGGACATTCTGGCATGATGACACTACCATTGGTATCAAAACTGAAAGGATGTTGCACAAATGTTGCACCTGGGCTATTATCGAGGATTTTTATATTTCCTAGACCACTTGTGGCCACATCTATCTCAGAGCCACTAAACTCAGGGTCAGCATCACTTTGCTCTTAAAAGGGGAGTGTTAATAGGACATGACATCAGTGAATCTAAGGTGTTTGTCACACTGTTTGCTCTAGCTGGCCCTCAGTTGAACTGGTGCTCCCACAAGGCACTAAGTGGTCCCAGATTTTTTTTTAATGCTGCATATACCGAGTGTTAAGACCCATTCTGTACTGACCAGGCATCTCAGACCAATTGTGCCAAATTTGGAGGCAGAAAAAATAAAACACTGATCTACGTTTGGAGCGCTAGCGGTAACAACGTAGATTAATGTTTGGACAGTTAAGGGGATAATGTTGAATTTGGAATAAATTAAGTCTTACACCTGTCAAGATAAAGTATTGTCTCTGGAAATCCAGTCTGGTGGTTCATGACTAATATTATGCATGTCCAGGGCTACACAAATACTCTTGTCCCTTTGGTCTGTGAGAAGTGGAAAATGAAGCCTGAGAAGTTAAAAAATCTTACTCGTATGTGGTTAACCCGTAAACGGTCCAACGTATATACATATATGTATATGTTATTACCGCTAGTGCCCCAAACGTATATAAACGACTCACGAAATCGTAATGACACGCTTGCAAACAAACCATACCACGGGCGGGATTTGAACCCGCGGTCAGTGTGGCTCAAAACTCCAGACTTGCGTTAGCCACTGGACCAGCTAGCCACAATAAGATTCGTCCAAATATGGCATGATTGGTCTGAGATACCTTGTCAGCATAGAATGAGTCATAACACTCAGTGTGTACTGTATTAAAAAAATATGGGACCACTTAGCACCTTGTGGGAGCACCAGTTCAAATGAGCGCCAACTAGAGCAAACAGTGTGGCAAACACCTGGGATTCACTGATTTCACATAGTATTAACTCTTCCATTTTAAGAGGAAAGTGATGTTGACCCCAAGTTTAGTGGCTTTGAGGTGGATGTGGCCATAAGTGGTTGAGGAAATATAAAAAACCTCAATAATAACCCATGTGCAACATTTGTGCAACACCCTTTCAGAATGTCTTATAACCTATGCCCTAAGTAACGAGAAACAATTCTCGAACGTAATACTTGTTCAGCAGCTGGCTGAGTGGCAGATTGGATGGCTGGCCACCTGCTGGCGGCCTGGCTCCATTTGTTTGTCTGTGTCTGTGTCTATCTCTGTCTGTCTCTCTGACTCATTCTATCTTTGTTGCTGTCTCTCTCTCTGTCTATCTCTTTCAATCTGTCTCTGTCTATCTCTTTCAATCTGTCTCTGTCTATCTCTGTCTCACAGGTACACGTAAATACAAGTATACATAGTGTAAATTACCTAGGATAACCCAAAAAATCCAGACAAAATGCTATACTCTGCTTGAAGATATGAGTAAAGGTGATGATGCAGTCTTGTGGCTCTCTCTGAGACTGAGACCTAGATGGATAGACAGGGAGCTTGACAGACAGACAAATAGACAAGGCAGACATGTTTGTGTACCAGCAAAAACAAAAGCAGGGCCATGCTCATCAAATGTCACCTCTAATCTTATCAAGTCTTATCACTGCACCCTCGCATATTCTCATCAAATGTCAGCTCTTAACAAATGTTATCTTATCACATCACTGTCAAGGGTGGACTTGTTTTTTGTGCTTCAAGGGAACTTATTATTATGTATCCTCCTCCTCCTCATCATCAATCATCATCAATCATCATCAATCATCATCATTAATCATCATCAATCATCATCATCATAAATCATCATCATCAATTATCATCATCAATCATCATCATCAATCATCATCATCAATCATCATCAATCATCATCAATCATCATTCATCATCATCAATCATCATCATCAATCATCATCATCAATCATCATCATCAATCATCATAATCAATCATCATTCATCATCATTCATCATCATCATCAATCATCATTGTTGTTGTCTTCTTCATCAATCATCAATCATCATCATCAATGATCATTATCAATCATCACCATCATCAATCATCATCATCATCATCATCAATTATCATCAGCAGTCATCATCATCAATCATTCATCAGCAGTCATCATCATCAATCATTCATCATCATCAGTCATCATCAATCGTCGTCGTCTTCTTCTTCTTCTTTCTTCTTCTTCTTCTTCTTTCTTCTTCTTCTTCTTCTTCTTCTTCTTCTTCTTCTTCTTCTTCTTCTTCTTCTTCTTCTTCTTCTTCTTCTTCTTCTTCTTCTTCTTCTTCTTCTTCTTCTTCTTCAAAACATTGCTGGGACCTATAAATACTTTGTATATATTCCAAGACAATAGTAAATGGCTAAGGCAGGTGTAAATGTCCACCTGTCAGTGTGTTTGTGACAATTTGAGTACAATTTCAGTACCTAATACTAGTGTTAGAACAAAGATTGGTTAGGAAATGACAAGCACTACTATAAATTGTAATTATCAGAACATAAAAATTATATAAAATAATATGAAAAATAGAAAAAAAGGTATATCGGCAACACTTCTGCAAGCAGCAGGACTCAATGTTGCTGTCATGTGAGCATCCAGTGCCAACTTCTCGGCCTCATATCTCTGTAAGTACTGACCTTAATTTTTTTTTCTATAACACTTAGAAAAATGTGCTCTTTATTTTCATTTAAAAAAAAAAAAAATATTTTTCAAAATATTCGGGGCACTGGGGTAGTGCATGTATACATGTATATACGTTTGGACCGTTTACGGGTTAAAGAAATAAAGCTGTACATTGGCATCCACTCTTTGATATTTAATTTATCATATTAGCCATAACAACATGCTGGAGTGAGAGATATGGGAGGAAGTGTAAAATAAACCCAGTGAGGAGCAGGGGTGCGGTGGGGACAATAAAGGAACACTGTATCAACATCGGGGTCCCAGACTATTCAACATCTTACCAGAAGATATCAGAAACACTGCTGGAACAAGTGTAGAAGCCTTCAAGAGGAAACTAGACAAGTATCTTCACCAGGTGCCAGATCAACCAGGCTGTGATGGATATGTGGGGCAGCGGGCCTCCAGCAGCAACAGCCTGGTTGACCAGGCAAGCACCAGACAAGAGTAAATAAACTCTCGAAACTCTTCAAAGGTATATCCAGTGGGCTGAGGAGGGGTTGTTGAGGTGGTTTGGACATTTAGAGAGATTGGAGAAAAATAGGATGACTTGGAGCTTGTATAAATCTATGGTGGACTGGAGGCGGGGTGCCTACTTATTGCTAGGTGAACAGGGGCAACATGTGTAAAGAAACACTCCCAGTATTTCCATCTGTGCTGGAAATCGGACCACAAACCCTTAGTATGTGAGCTGAATGCGCTACTAACCGAGCCATGGGACGTTACATGCCAAGTATTAATACGGAGTTTGTGTGCTAAACAACAATATGAGGGTTGTGTACCAAGCAACCAGGGTTTGTGTGTCAAACATCAATTTAGGGGTTTTATTTGAGCAACAATTTAGGGGATGTGTGGCAAGTCAAAAGAAAGTTCATCACGAAAAAAAACTCACTCTTAATCAAAGCTATTTGTGAGATGCCTTTTGATTAAAAAATTTAATCCAATCTTATGAATTTAAGGTTCAGTGGTACATGTTTAAAAATTCTAACACTTTGCGAGGCAACTCATTCCACTCTTACAGTTTTGAATTCATGCACTTCAATAAATACTTTTCTTATAATCTTCTTTCTAGCAGTTTGTGCTCTTTAGAATAAGGGATTTTTTTATTTCCATAATTTCAGGTTTTATCAAGTGCTGTATAAGCAACTACAAGATCCAGCATTTGGCTTTTCATCAGCAAACTGTGCCTTTCTAAACTTGATTTTCAAGGCAATGGTACTTGATGACTCTTTAAAAAGGATAAAAGCTTTCATAAAACGTTTGCTACAGGTACAGTATAACATGCATGAACAGTATATGCCTATTGTATATGTGGTCTTGCCACTAGTAAGAGCTAACTCAGTATCTGAATTTTGGTGGGAAAAGCATTAAAACATGTAATAATTAAAAATAATATACATATTATGGATTTCTTTATTTTTTTTAAGATTTTATTATTATTTTATATGTGTAAACACATATAACGTGTAATGTCACCATGGTTGTTTAATATATTTATAGATGGGGTTGTAAAGGAAGTAAATGCTAGGGTGTTCGGGAGAGGGGTGGGATTAAATTTTGGGGAATCAAATTCAAAATGGGAATTGACACAGTTACATTTTGCTGATGATACTGTGCTTATGGGAGATTCTAAAGAAAAATTGCAAAGGTTAGTGGATGAGTTTGGGAATGTGTGTAAAGGTAGAAAGTTGAAATTGAACATAGAAAAGAGTAAGGTGATGAGGGTATCAAATGATTTAGATAAAGAAAAATTGGATATCAAATTGGGGAGGAGGAGTATGGAAGAAGTGAATGTTTTCAGATACTTGGGAGTTGACGTGTCGGTGGATGGATTTATGAAGGATGAGGTTAATCATAGAATTGATGAGGGAAAAAAGGTGAGTAGTGCGCTGAGGTATATGTGGAGTCAAAAAACGTTATCTATGGAGGCAAAGAAGGGATTGTATGAAAGTATAGTAGTACCAACACTCTTATATGGGTGTGAAGCTTGGGTGGTAAATGCAGCAGCGAGGAGATGGTTGGAGGCAGTAAAGATGTCCTGTTTAAGGGCAATGTGTGGTGTAAATATTATGCAGAAAATTCGGAGTGTGGAAATTAGGAAAAGGTGTGGAGTTAATAAAAGTATTAGTCAGAGGGCAGAAGAGGGGTTGTTGAGGCATTTTGGTCATTTAGAGAGAATGGATCAAATTAGAATGACATGGAAAGCATATAAATCTATAGGGGAAGGAAGGCGGGGTAGGGGTCGTCCTCGAAAGGGTTGGAGAGAGGGGGTAAAGGAGGTTTTGTGGGCAAGGGGCTTGGACTTCCAGCAAGCGTGCGTGAGCGTGTTAGATAGGAGTGAATGGGGACGAATGGTACTTGGGACCTGGCGATCTGTTGGAGTGTGAGCAAGGTAATATTTAGTGAAGGGATTCAGGGAAATCGGTTATTTTCATATAGTCGGACTTGAGTCCTGGAAATGGGAAGTACAATGCCTGCACTTTAAACGAGGGGTTTGGGATATTGACAGTTTGGAGGGACATGTTGTGTATCTTTATATGTGTATGCTTCTAAACTGTTGTATTCTGAGCACCTCTGCAAAAACAGTGATAATGTGTGAGTGTGGTGAAAGTGTTGAATGATGATGAAAGTATTTTTTTTTGGGGGGATTTTCTTTCTTTTTTGGGTCACCCTGCCTCGGTGGGAGACGGCCGACTTGTTGAAAAGAAAAAAAGAAAAAAAAACGTGTAAACACTTGTGCTGTTATTTTAAGACATATTGCACTATAGTTAAAGATACACGAGTTCGCCCTTACTATTAGCGATGTATCATATTTAGTATGTGTTTAAGTTTGTGGGTTGAGCTTATGCTCTTAACTTTTGATTGACCGCATTGAATTAACTCTGTCATATTTGTTTGAGTTGCTGTGCAATTCATTCCACATCTTTACCATTTTTAAATTGAAATAAATGCTTTTTAACATCTCTTCAAATTACCTCCATGCTCAACTTCTATCCAATTGGTCTTGGCTCCTGTTTGAAAATCTATCCTTGTCTGCCTCATCTGTGTCTTGGAGTATTATGTATGGAACAATGTTGTTGGCTTTTGTTGTACATTCATTCTTCCAGAGAAATGAGCTCTAGATCATGTCTTTGAAACCAACACTCTCATTGGTAAGTTGAGGAGCCTGGCATGGATGAAATTTATACAGCCAAATAAGCTAGAAGGATAGCTGGAAACTTTTCTTCAGCATTAGAATGTTAAAGATATGAAATGAAGTGAACAGTGACAACGTAGAAACGAGCTCCATTAAAGGACTGAGAAAAATAGACAAGTCTAATTTATATCAGTCTGTTGAATGTTAAGAGACTAAACCAAGAACTAGATCTTGATCCTGCACTTGCAAGTAGATACTTATGAAGGAAGGATTCTGTTTTTTTTTTTATGGGAAATGTGCAGTATACATATAATTATTGAGACGTGTTCTGCATTATTATTACTGTGAAAACTTAATCCTCAGTCTAGCATATTACAAATATAGCCATCCTATTGTTGGCAGTCTAGTTGTATCAAGTTTTAATTTGCACTTGGGGCAGTACCAGTATTAAATTGATTTTTAAGCATAATTTTATAATATGGTATAACTATATCTCTACCTGCTCATAAATACTCATTTGGTTTACAAAGAGAAAAGATATTGTACTTTGAATTGTTATAAGCCATTAATGAGTAACTTCTGCTGAGGACCACATTGATAAGAAAATGAAAAAAAAATACATACAGCACTAAAGGTAAATAGCCAGTTGATTGTAGCTTACCTTTTCAGACTAGCCAGTACCTGAGTTCGCACATGGTCTGTGGCATCTTGTATCTTATTTCGGAAGTAGTTGGAGAGAAACCAGAACTTAAGACTATGATACAGACATTACACAATAGCAGGGATGATGATGATGATGGATTAGAGGTCTTCTCAGATGCAGAAGATCCAGATGAACTGGAAATGAATGAACAAAAAGAAGAAATTTCTGAAAATGGGAATAAAGTAAGCAGTGTACAGTATATTTTCCTTATTTAAGCTAAAAGATAATTATATATTTCTACATGTTTACTTATTTTTGATTATGTTTGTGATGACAATAATAGCTATTCTTTTGGTGTCCTGTCATCTTTATAATTGAATTCTGGAGACTGGATGTACAGTGCCTACATTCAGAAGTATGGATGTGGATGTTGCAATTTGGATGGTCATTTCAATAATGATGTCTGCACTTTTCTGACAAGACAATTATTGAAGAGTGATGGTGAATTTATTTCCTTCTTTGGGTGACCCTGTCTTAGTGGAAAATGGTCAGTATATTAAAAATATATTTGTTTATATGGAAGCAAGGGGTTAGTAACTCCTATATAAATTACTAAATGTAAAATGAAGAAAACAATGATTTGTCGTTTTCTTTTTTGGGTCACCCTGTCTCGGTGGTCACCCTGCCTTAGTAGGAGACAGCTGGTATGTTTTACCAACTTTTCTTAGGTGGCTATTGTCAAAGTTTTTACAATGAAATTTGTCAGGGAGACAGGCCTATATGCTAATATAAAATAATGTATTTGTGTTTCTTTAGTAAAGTCTTTATATTCATTTATTTATTCAGGACTTAGCAATAACATCAAAAAATAATGAGGAAGGTTACATTAAAGAAAGACTTGAAGAGAATGAAGCCCAAGCCAATCTTTCCAGACATCCCTTCAATAAACCTTCATCATTATCATCTTGGGTCCATTGTTTGAATGCTGGCCCAGCTACAGTCAAATGCACAACTTATGATCCCTTCCAACGAAACCCTTTGCATTGTGGTGCAGACTACAGTTCTCTCTGGGAGCTTCTTTATCTCAAGGTTTGTAATTAGAGATGACTAATTATGTAACACTTGAAGCTATGTTTTCATGACATGCTTGCTGATTGAAATTTTACAAAAGAATGGGTGTGTAAAATGTTAATATGATGTTACAGCTTCTCCTCACTTAACAATGGAGTTTCGTTCCTAAGACCACGTCGTTAAACGAACTTACCACTAAGTGAGGAGCATTCTATAATGGTAGTGGGTTTGTGTCAACCATCTTTGATATTGCTTTAATGTTACTTTTGCACCATTTATAACATTTTTGTTATATTTTTAAATGTTTATACAGTAGTGTACTGTATATTAAAATAAACAGAATAGAGAAAATCAGCTCTAATATACCTTATTTAGGTATAGCTACTGATCAGAGAGCCTGTCATAAGTCTGAGGCGTCGGTAAACGAGTACATCACTAAATGAGGAGAGTTTGTACAGGTTGACCATCACTGACCCGCTGTGTATCACTATTTCTTGTTCACTTATAAAACTGCCTTGCTCTAGACCTTTTAACAGTTCATCTGTGAATTGAATTAACCCATCAATAGAGGTGCTAGCTGAAATTAGTACCAGCTCATTGATTGCCAGATCAGTGATGGCTGGCCTGTCTTTATTATCTGTTTTTGCTTTTTAGCCGGACTTCAGTCCTGGAGATGGGAAATACAATGCCTGCACTTTCAAGGAGAGGTTTGGAGTAACATTTAAACTGTCGTATCTGAGCACCTCTGCAAAGACGGTGATTATGCATGAATGATGATGAAAGTATTAAACAATGATGAAAGTTTTTGTTTTTGGGTCACCCTCCCTCTGTGGGAAACATCCGATGTGTTAAAAAAAAAAATAAGAGGAAGCAAAACTTTAAGTTGGGGTGCTTGAATGTGTGTGGATGTAGTGCAGGTGATAAGAAAAAAAGATAGTCAGTGTTACAAATGAAAAGAGACTGGCTGTCCTGCCTCTAAACAAAACAAAGCTGAAAGGGGTAGGAGAGTTTGAGTTTTATTGGGGAGAAATAAATAGGATTAGGACAGGGGTATCTGAGGGAGTTTGAGCTAAGGACAGCAATTATGTTGAAGGATCAGTTATGGCAGGAGAAGAGGGAACAAAAGTGTTATGCTAAGTGTTTATGGACCGGGAGAAGAAAGGAGTGTAGAGGAGAGAGAGAGGAGAGAGAGAAAGAGAAAGTTTTGGGAGATGTTAAGTAAGTGTTTAGGAAATTTTGAACCAAGTGTGAGAGTAATTGTAGTGGGGGATCTAAATGCTAGAGAGAAACTGTTGTAGAGGGCATACTAGGTAAGTTTGATGTGCCAGAGGTAAACGGTAATGGGGGGGGCCTTTGATTGAACTTTGTATAGAAAGAGATTTGGTAATAGGTAATACATAGGACATACTAGGTAAGTTTGGGATGCCAGAAGTAAATGATAATGGAGGGGGGGGGGAACCTTTGATTGAACTTTGTATTGATTTGGTAATAGGTAATACATATTTAAAAAATAAAAGAGGATAAATAAGTATATGAGATATGATATAAGGCATAATGATAATAGTGTGTTTGACTAATGGTGGATAAAAGGTTGATGGGTAGGCTTCTGGATGGGCATGTTTATAGAGGGACAACAGATATACCAGATCATTATTTAGTTGCAGCTACAGCGAAAGTAAGAGGTAGATGGGGTAAAAAGAGAATGGCATCAGTGAATAAGAGAGAAGTGAAAGTTTATAAACTAAAAGGGAAGATAGTTAGGGTAAGATATAAGCACCTACTGGGAGAAAGATAGGCTAGTGAGAGTATAGGTAATGAAGGTGAAGAGGTATGGGGTAGATTTAAGAATGCAGCAGATTTAAGTGTGCAGCAGAAGTTTATAGATATAGGAGGGTGGGTGGAAGAGGGAAGAGGAACAGTTGGTGGAATGATGGAAAGAGAGTGGTAAGAGAAAAGGTTAGCATATGAAAGTTTTCTACAAAGCAGAAGTGATATAAGGAGGGTGGAATGTATGGAGAGTAAAAGAGAGTGGTGAGGGATTGTAAAAGAATAGCAAATAAGAGAGTGGGAGAGGTTCTGTCAACAAATTTTGCTGAGAGAATAAGAAAGGAGCGAGAGTAATAGGTTGAGAAAGTCTAGGGAATGAATGGATTTGCTATTTAAATACAGAAGTGGGAAGTCATTTGATAGGGAGTTGGATGTATCTGGAAGATGGCAGGAATTTTTTGAAGAACTGTTAAATGTTGATGAAGAAAGGGAGGCATTAATTTCATGTATTTGCAAGAGAGGTATAACATCCTTTAGGAGAGAGGAAGAGTCAGCTGTGAGTGGTGGAGGTGCATGAGGCAGTGGGTAAATTGAAAAGGGGTACAGCAGCTGGGACTGATGGGATGAAGACAGAAATATTAACAGCAGGTGGGGATATAGTTTTGGAGTAGGTACCTAGGGATTTGGCAGTGTGCACAGGTCCTTTGTATAAAGGAAAGGGAGACAAAAGAGAGAGAGTAAGAATTATAGGAGACTAAGCCTGTTGAGAGTACAAGGTAAACTGTATGGTAGAGTTATTATTGAAAAAATTAAGGGCAAGATGAAGAGCAGGATCACACTTGGACAAGGAGGCTTCAGGAAGGGTAGGGAATATGTAGACAAAATGCTTACAGTGAAACTTTTTTTTTTTTTAACACCTACCATCTCCTACCAAGGTAGGGTGACCCAAACGGAGGAACACTTTCATAATCATTCATTCTATCACTGTCTTGCCAAAGGCATGCTAATGCTACAGTTCAGATACCCCTCCAAACTGCAAATATCCCCACCCCTTCTTCAGAGTGCAGGCACTGTACTTTTCCCTCAAGGATTCATATCCAGCTAACTGGTTTCCTTGAATCCCTTCACAAAATGTTGCCTTATTCACTCCAACAGCTCATCAAGTCCCAAAAACCACTTGCCTCCACTCCTGTCTGACTTGCTCTCACATGCATGCTGGATGCCCTAGTCTCTCACACCTACTCCACCTTCCCTCCACTACAGATTTATGCACCCTTGAAGTCGTCTTATTTTGCTCCTGCCTCTCTAAAGATCCTAACCACTTTGACAACCCCTCCTCAACTCTCTGGATAATACTTTTAGTAAACCTGCACCTCCTAACCTCCAAACTACGAATTCTTTGCAGTGTAAAAAAAGAAAATTAAATGTGAACATATCAAAAAGTCTGGCCAGTAATAGATTGTATTTAAATATTTGTGAGAAGACATGCCAGTAGATGGATCTATGAAAGATAAAGTGAACAATAGAGTAGATGAGGGGGAAAAACTGTGGGTTGTGTGTTGAAGTATCTGTGGAAAGAAAGAAATTTATCTGTGAAGGCAAAAAAACTGAGAATGTACCAGAATATTGTGGTACCAACACTTTTAAATAGGTGTGGGCATGAGTTTCGAATTCTGCAGTGAAAACGAGGCTAGGGACAACAGAGATGTCATGCTGGAGAACAGAACAGTGTTGGGTGTGAATATTGTGGAGAATATTGAGAGCAATGATATTAAAAGGTGATGTGGGGTGATCAAGGGTATAAATCTATAAATCTGAGGACTGAGAAGGGGTTGTTGAGGTGGTTTGAGCATGTGGGTAAGATGGAGAGGCCTAGGTTGATGGAAAACAATTATGAATCTGAGGTGGATGGTAGAAGGAAGAGGGGTCATCCCACAAATGATTGTAGGGAGGGGTGTAAAAGAGGCTTTGAATTTTAGGGCTTGAGCATCCAGTAGGTTTGTATGTGCATGTTAGATAGCAGTGCATGGAGACTAGTGGTCTTTAATGGATGTGCTGTTTTAGTGCGAGCAAGGTAACTTGTAGTGCCTGTGCTCTGAAGGAAGGGTGGGGGGGGGGTGTTGCCATCAGAGGGCAATTTGATTGTGACGTCAGCATACTTCTGGAAGGATGGTGATTGAGTAATTGTGAATATGTTTTCTTTGAGTCACCCTACCTTGGCAAGAGACAGCTTATGAGTCAAACAAATAAATTCTTACCGCGCAAGAAATTCTTTAAATTTATTTTGAAATATTTTTGACAGAAACTAATGTTAGAAATCACATGTGGAGGGTGAAAAAATCAATAGATGATGGTTTTTATCACAACAATGGTGAATATCACCAACACAAGTTTAACTGTAATTTAACCCTAAAAAAATAAAAATAAGTACATAAATTCAAAGCACTTCCATGATTGAGCAGTCATATTCTCGGTGAACAAAGTGGTTTTCATGTTTTTGAATGCTGTATAAATAGGTAGTAATACACATAGTGCTTGAATATTCTATGATCTGATCTGTTCACAGTATCAGAAATAATTTCATATTTACTTTATACACATATTGATTAAAGCTTTATTTTTCAGATGAATTTTTAAATATTTTTTTATCATGACCATATTCTCTAGAAAGTAAAAGGCACAGTACTGTGGAATCTCAGTTTTCGTCATTAATTCGTTCCAGAAAGTCTGACGAAAACCGAATTCGACGAAAACTGAAGCAATATTTCCCATAAGAAATAATGTAAATCCAATTAATCCATTCCAGACACCCAAAAGTATTAACAAAAAAAATACATTTTATAGAGAATAACTATTGATTTACATACAGAAAATAATGAGAAATAAATATAAAGGACTAATGCAATGGATAAATGAACATTTAACATCACTTTTACCTTTATTGAAGACTTGTTGGTGTATGGAAGACAGCAAGGAGGGGAGAGGGAGGAGAGGTTATCTCTACTGCCATCACTACCACCCTCTCCCACCATCACTATTACCCTCTACCACCATCACTACCACCTTCTACCACCATCACTACCACCCTCTCCCACCATCACTACTACCCTCTACTGCCATCACTACCACCTTCTACCACCTTCACTACCACCTCTACCACCATCACTACCACCCTCTACCACCATCACTACCACCCTCTACCACCATCACTACCACCCTCTACTGCCATCACTACCACCTCTACCCATCACTATCACCTTCTACCCATACTACCACCCTCTACTGCCATCACTACCACCCTCTACTGCCATCACTACCACCCTCTACGCCATCACTACCACCCTCTACCTGCCATCACTACCACCCTCTACCACCATCACTACCACCCTCTACCACCATCACTACACCCTCACCACCATCACTACCACCCTCTACCCATCACTACCACCCTCTACCCATCACTACCACCCTCTACCACCATCACTACCACCCTCTACCACCATCACTACCACCCTCTACCACCATCACTACCACCTCTACCACCATCACTACCACCTCTACCACCATCACTACCACCCTCTACCACCATCACTACCATCCTCTACCACCATCACTACCACCCTCTACACCATCACTACCACCCTCTCCCACCATCACTACTACCCTCACTGCCATCACTACCACCTTCTACCACCCTTCACTACACCCTTCTACCGCCATCACTACCACCCTCTACCGCCATCACTACCACCCTCTACCGCCATCACTACCACCCTTTACCACCATCACTACCACCCTCTACCGCCACACTACCACCCTCTGCTGCCATCACTACCACCTTACCACCATCACTACCACCCTCTTCTGCCATCACTATCACCCTCTACTGCCATCACTACCACTCTCTACCACCATCCTTACCACCATCACTACCACCCTCTACCGCCATCACTACCACCCTCTACCGCCATCACTACCACCCTCTACCACCATCATTACCACCATCACTACCACCCTCTACCACCATCACTACCACCCTCTACCACCATCACTACCATCCTCTACCGATGAGAAACAAAGCCAGACTGACTCAGAACGTGTGAGATGCTCTGTGTGGGCGCTGGCGGACACATTTGGTACGGCGGATTAGTGTCTACTCAATGAAAACTGAGGTGATGAACGAAAACTGGGGCAAAATTTTGACGAAGAAAGTTGTTGAAAACTGAATTCGATCAAAACCAGGGCAAACGAAAACCGAGGCTCCGCTGTATGTGAATATTTAATTATTATGAATAAACATTTCAGGCACACTACCACCCATCTGTGTCACTGTTTGCTACCAAACTCATCACCGGTGAAAGTGTCAACTACTCTGGAGATCCCTTGCAAGACTTCACTCTTATGCGTTTCCTTGATAGATTTGTGTACAGAAATCCCAAAAAAATGGATGGCCGAATGGATAGTAAGTAACTATGACTTAATTCTTAATATAATGTAATAAATTACTGGTATCAGTAATATACAATTCCTTTAAGCTTTCAAAGCATGTAGTCTTGACATTTGAGTTGACTATAATAGGCTGGTAAATTTTGAACTCATGTCTTACTTTGTTAATAATCCTGTGTTTTTAGAATAAAACTATGGCCAAACTATAACTCCATGGCAATAGTTTTTGGGGTTTTCTTTCTTTCTTTCAACACACTGGCTGTATCCCACCGAGGTGGGGTGGTGCAAAAGGAAAAACAAAAGTTTCTCCTTTTACATTTAGTAATATATACAGGAGAAGGGGTTACTAGCCCCTTGCTCCCGGCATTTTAGTCGCCTCTTACAACACGCATGGCTTACGGAGGAAGAATTCTGTTCCACTTCCCCATGGAGGTTTTTGGGGTTTGAAGTGTAATAAAGTATTCAAGAAGTTTCTATATTTATGTATCACAGTTTCTATTTACATTATTCTTACCTTTAATTTTTTTCTTTCATTTTAGGTGCTGGTGGACACATACTAGGGAGACGGACTCAGTATGTACCTCATGGTGCTCGAGGGATTGCAGTTAATACTGATGAATTCATTGCACTAGACCCAGAGAAAGTGCCAGAGGATGACCATTTCTTCTACAGGTAACTGTGCTTAAATCAAATAAAGGATCTGTATTTGTCTACACTGGATTTTTTGAACATAATGATCATATCATCTCTTTTTCTGCATCCCTTAAGGAAATTACATCTAGCTCTATCTATGGCATTGATGAGCCTTGAAGCATTTAGTATTTATAAACTTAATGTAACAATAGTATCAATTACAGGAGGGCCTTGCTTAATGATGTTTCTCTTTATGGTGTTTTGCTAATGTGGACATTTCAAATTATGACCAAAACTCATTTTATGGCTCCCTACCTGATTCGCTATTACAGCGTCTGCATGCCACTCAGTTTGTTTATATCCTCCGTGAGTGTTTTTTTTTTTTTTAACAAATTGGCCATTTCCACCGAGGCAGGGTGACCCAAAAAGAAAGAAAAAAAAAACATTCATCATGGTTCAATACTTTCAACATCATTTATGCATAATCACTGTTTTTGCAGAGGAGCTCAGATATGACAGTTTAGATCTCACTCCAAACAGCTAATATCCCAAACCCCTCCTTTAACCCCTTGAGGGTCCGTGCCGTAGATCTACGGCTTTATGTTGAGGGTCCAAACCATGGATCTACGTCATGAGCTCAGCTCACTCTGATAAGCTGTGATTGGTAAATTTTGGCCTTGATATGAGAGAAGACATCTGTGTGGTATGTGTGCACCACATAAAACAAATCCTGCAGCACATAGTGCGTAATGAGAGAAAAAACTGAGACTGTAATTTTCGATTAAAACAGCGAATTTGCAGTGTTTTTTTCATATTTTTTTTATTGTTGTATTTGCGATTTCTTGGTCTCATTTGATAGAATGGAAGACATATTACAGAAATAGAGATGATTTTGATTGGTTTTAGTACTGGAAATGGCTTGAAACTGAGCTCAAAGTAGCAGAAATGTTAAATTTTTGCCGATGATAAAGAGTAAACAAATGACCTCACAAGTCTAATACATGACAGCTGGTGGGTCTAATATACATTCACAAATGTGGTGATGTTATTTATATAATTATTACAATATTACATAACAGTAAATCTTCTATTTTTTGGTTTGAATAAAAATTCATGTGAATAAAAAATCAAAATGGAATTCATTAGTAAAGCTTGAAAACTTAACTAATGAACAGAGGAAATGTTTGTTTAGTGCCAGGAATGCCTGCATTGTTTATTCTGGACCCTATTTTGAAATTGGAGTATTTTGAACTTTGCATTAAATTGGTCAAATTACCAATTTCCGATCACTTTATTTTCTAGTTGAAACAGTTGACTTGGTGATTTCTTGTGCTCACTCGATAGAATAGAAGTAATACTAGTGAAATAGCTAAGAATTTGGTCGACTGGAATAATGTAATTGGCCTAAAATGGGAGTCAAAGTCCGCAAAATCGCCGGTGCGTAAACATCTCTGACGCATCAAAATTCGCAAGAGCATAATTTCGTCAATTTTCCATCAAATTTCGTACTTTTTGTTTTATAACCTTCAGAAAAAGATTCTTTACTATTTCAAAATAAAAAATAAAAAAATTATTTTTTGAAAATTCTTGGACACTGGTGCACCCTTTGAAATTTGGCCTCTGGACCCTGAAAGGGTTAAAGTGCAGGCATTGTACTTCCCACCTCCAGGACTCAAGTCCAGCTAACCAGATAATTATAATTATACTTTTTTTTTTTTTTTCCAACAAGTCGTCTGTCTCCCACCAAGGCAGGGTGACCCAAAAAGAAAGAAAATCCACAAAAAGAAAATACTTTCATCATCATTCAACACTTTCACATCACTCACACATAATCACTGTTTTTGCAGAGGTGCTCAGAACACAACAGTTTAGAAGCATATACGTATAAAGATACACAACATATCCCTCCAGACTGCTAATATCCCAAAACCCCTCCTTTAGAGTGCAGGCATTGTACTTCCCATTTCCGGGCTATATAAAAATAACCAGTTTCCCTGAATTCCTTCACTAAATATTACCCTGCTCACACTCCAACAGATCGTCAGGTCCCAAATACCATTCATCTCCATTCACTCATATTGAACACGCTCATGCACGCCTGCTGGAAGTCCAAGCCCCTCGCCCACAAAACCTCCCTTACCCCTTCCTTCCAACCTTTTCGAGGACGACCCCTACCCCGCCTTCCTTCTCCTACAGATTTAAATGCTCTCCATGTCTTTCTACTTTGATCCATTCTCTCTAAATGACCAAACCACCTCAACAACCCCTCTTCTGCCCTCTGACTAATACTTTTATTAACTCTACACCTTCTCCTAATTTCTACACTCTAAATTTTCTGCATAATATTTACACTACACATTGCCCTTAGACAGGACATCTCCACTGCCTCCTCGCTGCTGCATTCACAACCCAAGCTTCACACCCATATAAGAGTGTTGGTACTACTATACTTTCATACATTCCCTTCTTTGCTTCCATAGATAACGTTTTTTGACTCCACATATACCTCAACGCACCACTCACCTTTTTTCCTTCATCAATTCTATGATTAACCTCATCCTTCATAAATCCATTCGCCGACACGTCAACTCCCAAGTATCTAAAAACATTCACTTCTTCCATACTCCTCCTCCCAAATTTGATATCCAATTTTTCTTTATCTAAATCATTTGATACCCTCATCACCTTACTCTTTTCTATGTTCACTTTCAACTTTCTACCTTTACACACACTTCCAAACTCATCCACTAAGTTTTGCAATTTTTCTTTAGAATCCCCAATAAGCACAGTATCATCAGCAAAAAGTAACTGTGTCAATTCCCATTTTGTATTTGATTCCCCATAATTTAATCCCACCCCTCTCCCAAACACCCTAACATTTACTTCTTTTACAACCCCATCTATAAATATATTAAACAACCATGGTGACATTACACATCCCTGTCTAAGACCTACTTTTACCGGGAAATAGTATCCCTCTCTTCTACACACCCTAACCTGAGCGTCACTATCCTCATAAAAACTCTTTACAGCATTTAGTAACTTACCAACTATTCCATATACTTGTGTGAACCTGTAAATAAATAAATTTACGCACTGTGCTGGCATGCAGGTACACATTAAAATGACTAAATTTTGAGGATGCCATATTAATAATAATAATAATAATAATAATAATAATAATAATAAAAACAATAATAATAAAAACAGAGTAGGGGAGTTAGTAGATGGGGAAAGGGAGGTATTAGGTAGATGGCGAGAATATTTTGAGGAACTTTTAAATGTTGAGGAAGAAAGGGAGGCGGTAATTTCATGCACTGGCCAGGGAGGTATGCCATCTTCTAGGAGTGAAGAAGAGCAGAATGTAAGTGTGGGGGAGGTACATGAGGCATTACGTAGAATAAAAGGGGGTAAAGCAGCTGGAACTGATGGGATCATGACAGAAATGTTAAAAGCAGGGGGGGGATATAGTGTTGGAGTGGTTGGTACTCTTGTTTAATAAATTTATGAAAGAGGGGAAGGTACCTAGGGATTGGCGGAGAGCATGTATAGTCCCTTTATATAAAGGGAAAGGGGACAAAAGAGATTGTAAAAATTATAGAGGAATAAGTTTACTGAGTATACCAGGAAACGTATACGGTAGGGTTATAATTGAAAGAATTAGAGGTAAAACAGAATGTAGGATTGCGGATGAGCAGGGAGGTTTCAGAGTGGGTAGGGGATGTGTAGATCAAGTGTTTACATTGAAGCATATATGTGAACAGTATTTAGATAAAGGTAGGGAAGTTTTTATTGCATTTATGGATTTAGAAAAGGCATGTGATGGAGTGGATAGAGGAGCAATGTGGCATCTGTTGCAAGTATATGGAATAGGTGGTAAGTTACTAAATGCTGTTAAGAGTTTTTATGAGGATAGTGAGGCTCAGGTTAGGGTGTGTAGAAGAGAGGGAGAATACTTCCTGGTAAAAGTAGATCTTAGACAGGGATGTGTAATGTCACCATGGTTGTTTAATATATTTATAGATGGGGTTGTAAAAGAAGTAAAAGCTAGGGTGTTCGTGAGAGGGGTGGGATTAAATTATGGGGAATCAAATTCAAAATGGGAATTGACACAGTTACATTTTGCTGATGGTACTGTGCTTATGGGAGATTCTAAAGAAAAATTGCAAAGGTTAGTGGATGAGTTTGGGAATGTGTGTAAAGGTAGAAAGTTGAAAGTGAACATAGAAAAGAGTAAGGTAATGAGGGTATCAAATGATTTAGATAAAGAAAAATTGGATATCAAATTGGGGAGGAGGAGTATGGAAGAAGTGAATGTTTTCAGATACTTGGGAGTTGACGTGTCGGCGAATGGATTTATGAAGGATGAGGTTAATCAAAGAATTGATGAGGGAAAAAGGGTGAGTGGTGCGTTGAGGTATATGTGGAGTCAAAAAAAACGTATGAATGTATGAAAGTATAGTAGTACCAACACTCTTATATGGATGTGAAGCTTGGGTGGTAAATGTAGCAGCGAGGAGACGGTTGAAGGCAGTGGAGATGTCCTGTCTAAGGGCAATGTGTGGTGCAAATATTATGCAGAAAATTTGGAGTGTGGAAATTAGGAAAAGGTGTGGAGTTAATAAAAGCATTAGTCAGAGGGCAGAAGAGGGGTTGTTGAGGTGGTTTGGTCATTTAGAGAGAATGGATCAAAGTAGAATGACATGGAAGGAAGGGGAAGGAAGGAGGGGTAGGGGTCATCCTCAGAAGGGTTGGAGAGAGGGGGTGAAGGAGGTTTTGTGGGCGAGGGGCTTGGACTTCCAGCAAGCGTGCGTGAGCATGTTAGATAGGAGTGAATGGAGACGAATGGTACTTGGGACCTGACGATCTGTTGGAGTGTGAGCAGGGTAATATTTAGTGAAGGGATTCAGGGAAACCGGTTATTTTCATATAGTCGGACTTGAGTCCTGGAAATGGGAAGTACAATGCCTGCACTTTAAAGGAGGGGTTTGGGATATTGGCAGTTTGGAGGGACATGTTGTGTATCTTTATACGTATAT